CTGTTCTTAAGAGAGTCTTTAGAAAGTATGGAAGTAACAGCTTCTAATGGAGATTTCAAGCTAAAACCCTGGAGAGGTGGACTGGATGGCCAAGCAGATGAAATCCAATAGACAAGAAAAATGGCACAGCGCTAGAGTTTAAAGAACACAGGCCTGTACATTTTATGATGAAAGGGAACTGCTACCAGTACACAATAACATTTATGTTGAGGTCATGAAACTGAGCAAACTTCAGAGGACAGCGGAAGACAGGAGGGCCTGGCGGGATCTAGTCCATGGGGTCGCGAAGAGTTGGACTCGACTGTGCAACTGAACAACAACAACAACATGGATTCTTTGCACAACGTGGATTCTCAACATATTTGGGATGGACCAGTTTCTCCATGTTTATGTAAAATATTTTTCCCATGATGTCTGAACAAATGATACTTGCTGATTGATCAAGAGAACCTTCCAGTTGTCCTGCTCTAAATCTGAGGCTACTGATACACAGAACTCTGAGAGACAGAGAGACACAGACAGACAGACAGAGCCATCAAGTCAAGCTGGCGACCCCTAGTTCTGCTTAAAAGCAAGGGACATTGAGGTGGCTTGCCATCGTCTGCCTCTGTGTCACACGACCCTGGTATTCCTTGGAGATCGCCGATCCAAATACTAGCCACGGTTGGGCCTGCTTAGCTTCCGAGATCTGGCGAGACCATGCTGGCCTGGGCTATCTAGGTGAGGGCAGAACTCTAAAATATATCAGCATACCTTTAGATTTGTTGAGTCTTAGAACCCTTCAAAAACGGTTGTGGGAATGATACCAAAGATGACAGGTTTGTATTCATTCCATCTGCACACCTTTCCAAAAAGATATAAGCGGAATCAGGGGAATACTTCTACCTATTTCCAGGCAGTGAGGAAGGAATTAAAAATGAATACTCAACCTATTTTAGCTAAAAGTTATGTTAATGGCCACCATTTTTCAACAGTACTCATGAAACTGTAAATCTAGCTTTGGTGCAGTGGTTAGGAGTACGGACTCTAATCTGAAAGAACCGAGTTTGATTCCCCACTCCTCCACATGCAGCTGCTGGTGTGACCTTGGGTCAGTTACAAGTTTTCTCAAGAGCTCTCTCAGCCCCACTTACCTCACAGGGTGTCTGTTGTGGGGAGGGGAAGGGAAAGGAGATTGTAAGCCACTCCTGAGACTCCTTCGGGTAGTGAAAGGCAGGGTATAAATCCAATCTCTTCTTCTTATTGACTGACATATGCATGAAATGAAATGACTGGTCATGCCACACTGAAGAGAGAAGCAGGGAAGAATATTCTTCCACAGGGGCCATGTTATAAGCACTCGGTTCTCTCTATACAGCCCATTCATGTATTCTGCTATTACAGTACATAAGATGCTGCCTTACACTGAATCAGACCCCTCGGTCCGTCAAGGTCAGTGTTGTCTACTCAGACTGGCAGCAGCTTTCCAGGGACTCAGGCAAAGATCTTTCACATCACCTACTGCCTGGACCTTTTCAAGTGGAGATGCCAAGGACTGAACATGGGATTTTCGGCATGCCAAGCAGATGCTCTACCACTAAACCACAGCCCCTTTGTACTACAGTGCGTTTACAGGTGAGGGGGAGATAACTGAGATGGTTGCCACTGAAAATGGGGAGGGGACTTTTGAGAGACCAGCTATGCAAAGTAGCATGATGCAAATATGGCACACTGTGACATGGGGCTATAAAGTAATGTCACAATAATCACACCTTAACATAAAATCTCTTTTCTGCTTTGCAGTGCTCATGTTTTCATATAGTTCACTTAGCAGCCAGATAATCATCAAAGTAGTTCTAGGAACTCCCATTTGAGATGCCTGAGAAAATGTATTGCAAAACTGCAGAGCTGTTTAATTGTTAGTCCATGAACACATGCCATTTTTCTTCGTTTGCTAAAATTCTGTTGTTCTAGAGCAAAAATGGAGGTGGACTCTAGATAATACTTAAGTCTCTTGCACAAAGTATGGCTACATTTGAGAAACAATGCTTAGTTACTATTTGGGATGCAGATCTAGAGGACTGCAGATAGAAAACACTTTCCATTCAAGAAACACCCTTTCTTTTAGCTTTCCCCAGCCTAATGGATATATAATAACATTATTAAAGAGAGAATTAATAAGCACATTGAGGAACAAAGTCTACTGAGGGAAAATCAATAATGCATCATCTCTTGTAGTTTTTTGATCAGATTAAGAAGCACGTGGATAAGGGTGATCCAGCAGACATCATATACCTGGACTTCCAAAAGGCTTTTGATGAAGTACCTCAACAAAAGACTCATGAAACAAAGTTTGAGTCCAGTAGCACCTTTAAGACTTAAAAAGTTTTATTCAAGGTACAAGCCTTTGTGTGCAAGCACACTTCTTCAGTAATCATGGGATAAGAGGATGGATCCTATTATGGATTAAAAAACAGTTAAATGGCAGGAAGAAGAAAGTAGGAAAAAATGGACAGTTGTTGTCACAATGGAGTGAACTGAGCAGTGGGGTCCCAACAAGAATCGGTGTTAGGTCAGGTGCCATTTAACTTTTTCATAAATTATGTGGAACAGGGGAGGGGGGCGGAGTAGTGTAGTAGCCAGGTTTGCAGATGATACAAAATTATTCATGATGGTGAAAACCAAGGCAGATTGTGAAGAGCTATAGAAGATCTCTCTAAACTGGGCAAGTGGGCAACAATGCGACAAATGAAGCTCAAACTTGGTGATGCCAAATTCATATTAAAAACAAACTAGGACAAACCCATCTTGTTAGAGCAAAGAATATCTCCATGTGAATATCCACTACATATCAATGCGTAATTGGTGGTACCCTCAAGGTACTAGGCTTGGCTAAATACACAATGCCAGGTGAAGCAACGAATGAATAGTCTACCTTAAAGTTTATTGTGGGCTACTTTCCACAAGAGAGTAATAGTTTGTTGAGTAATAAAACCCCACAGCAGGCATGCAGCCATAAAGCTGAAGGTAACTTGCAAAATCAAAAACCAAAATTTTCATAAGCTTCGTAAACGTGAAGCAACGCCCGATAGAAAGTTGTACTCATCCTATAATGAACCCCCCCAAATCTCAGTATGCTTTAATTAGCAAAGGAAAGTGGATCTATTTTTAAGCCTTTAGACTTTTACCAGCTCATTCTCAAGATTACAACTACAATTTCAAGAAGGGAACATTAGTTTTCATTTAAAAATTAAGTAGGGTATGGCTAAGTGAGGCCTGAGAAGGCTGCGCCTCAAGCTGACTGGGAGGGGGAGGCCCCAAAGGCAAGAGACCCGAACGCTGGGGCAGGTTTCTCCAGGGGAATGCTGGTAAAAGCTCCAACTGCAAGCCATCCCATGAGCTGAGAGTGGCCAAACACTCACTCGATTGGGTGGGGCTGGATGGCAACATCAGCCACTACTGATAGAGAGGGTATGGCCCTCAAGGTGTGGAGGAACACAGAAAGAGTCACCAGGGCATGGTCAGCTCCTAGGAGGGGATTTAAAGGAGGTCATCTGGCAGACATTGTCAGCATATGAGAGGGCAGAGGACTAAGCGTAAGGCCTGAGGAGGGCAGCCCAGCAACCGGGGGAAGTGAATTCTGAACACAGACACAGATCATTAAACCAGTAAAATTAGGGTCATGGACAGAGGGAGATCTTCCTACAAACCTGGGAGAAAATCTTAAACCATAAACAGTGAAGAACAGAATTTTTAAAAAGAGTTTTAAATGTCAAGATATCACAGGATTTCCTTATGAGATCTGGGCTACCATTTTGGATTGCCTGGGAACTCTGGTAAGCCAAAATGGCCACTGTAGCGTCACTTGACACTGCAGTTGAAACGAAGAGTGAGCAGGCTGGCAAGAAAGAAGATAGGGGAGGGTATGAGGAAGGAAAGGGGGAAAAGAAGCAAAGGTATGGAAAAAGGAAAGAGTCAAGACTGCAGGAAAAAAATGGCAAAGCAGCAAATAGGCAAGGGAGGGAGGGAAAGACAGTGGCAGGTAGGTGGGAGAGAGGAAAGGAACAAACCAGAAAAGAAGCAAAGCTCGGGGGCTGTGATGGGGAGGGAAAATGCAGATAGTCTGGGGAGCATGATCAGCTGGAGGGGGCTGAGGTCCCCCCCCCACGAGTCCTTGTGCATCTCCTGCTTGGACTTAACTAATAACTTCCCAGTATAACGGTGTAATCAATGTAACTTCTTTATGGTATCATCTGTTCATTACAGCTAGAAATGCAAGCTATCCTCTGCAGTAATCAATTTACACACCAGCACTGCACATAAAAACATTTTATAACTTTCAAAGAATAAATTGAGATCTTTAGGAAACTCTTATTTACACAGTAGAAAAGAGCAAGAGTCCAGTAGCACCTTAAAGACTAACCAAATTTGTGACAGGGTATGAGCTTTCGTGAGTCACTGTTCACTTCTTATTTACACAATGACACACTTTTTTTTTCTTCTGCACATTCTCTGCTGCAACGGCTAACTTTTCAAAGGTTAAATGCAACAGACTTACAACTCATGTTTTATCTGTAGCATGCTCAGTTCTTAAAGCTCTGATGATATAATTCACACCAACAGTCAAACCGTTATTAAAAATATAACGAATGTGATCAAGGTCATCAGTGCCCCTTAAGCCGTTCAACACAGGAGTAGCCTTCACTGTGCTCTCTGCTCTCCCATTTATAAGTAAGCAACATTAAGTTTAGTACCTTATATTCCTGAGCTCTCCCTCTCTGAGTTCAGTATGAACACTAGCTTATACCATCCAAACCCTAGTCAGAAATCCTGGCTACAATTCTGCATTAGACCGTGGAAAACAAATTAGGCCTCAACAGCTCCAAATACACCTTTCTGTCCCAAGAGCTCATGTATTGCTCTTAGATCCCAAAACACCTGCCTTCCCACTCGAGCAGGATACAAGCATTATTTACCCAAAGCCTAATCTCTTTTAGCCCAGGCCCTGGTGCGTCTCTCACCCTCTCTCTCTGGGGCGCAGTCATCCAGTCCTGCTAAGTTCCAGCCTGAGAGAAGGAGGGGGCTTTTCCCCCTTGAAGTGTTTTGAATAGCTGGAAGGAGGCTGGGTCAAGAGCAGAAGGAAGCCAGGGAGAGGGAGGTTTCTCGCAGCAGCAGGCGGGGGGGGGGGGCGACTCTTCGGGTTGCTGAGCTGCTGTCTCTGGTATGTCAGGGGCCAGGATAGTATTTCGAAAGATCCGCCATTTTCACTTCGTCATCACCATCACATCCCAGCTCATCAACAACCTCAGCCTCCTCCCCGATTGCCCGCTTGAGCCCCTCCCACTGGAGGAAAGCCCTCCCTCCCATCTTTGATGTGCACTCACAAGCCAGAGGGAGGAGGGAGGGACTACGCTACAGCTGACAGGCGAGGATAAAAAAGCAGAAAGTTTGCCAGGTGACGAAAGAGCGATCAAAGACTGCCAAGAAATAGGCACGTCGCTGTCTCTTCCACCGAAAAAGAGAAGAGGAGGAGCCATAGCAACAAGGCAGGGTTAATTCCAAAGGTGGAACGTGCTGGTGTGCACCAGCGAGACTAGTCCTGTTGCACCTTAAAGGCTAGCTAGTTTACTGCAGAATGAGATTTTGCAGGGAGATGAGGTGGTTGGTATATGACAACACAGGAAGTCATTCATGCTGAGAACATACCATGCCCAATTCTCTGATGATGCCTGAATATAAAGGGGGGGGGGTTTAGATTTTTCTAGCCAACTGTATTTTGGAAGCAAAGAGAAAGCTTGAAATTAACACAAAACCTACTGTACACAGGACCAATCTCTGAAAATACTATAGTGTACAAAGCTGATGGGGAAAGGGCTACACTGCTAGACAAAATCATGCACATTTCCTCTCAATAAAAAAGCAGGCATCCCAAGCAAAATCACACCCTTCTAAGCCTACTGACTTCAATGGATTTAGAAGGGTGTAATTCGGCTTCAAACTGCATTGACATTACAGTAACACCCCAAACACTCTTGCATGGATGGCTATTCCCCTAATTTCAACCACCATCAAATGGATTCTAAGATTCCCACAAAGCACTGTATCAACCAGATGAAAGAGGCAGTAGTGGGGAAACAATGCGCTAAAGTTTCTATAGGTGCTTGATGTTGCACAGTAGTTGAAGAGTCTAGGAATCTTAGTATGACTATGGCCGTACAGTCTATTCCTATAGGAGCAATTTCCCACATTACAAGCTAGAGTCACTGAAATGCTTTTGCAAGACATTCCCACAATGAAAGTCAAAACACTGGAAGGATTTATCCCTGTCCCTGCTGTGTCAGAATCAGGCATGGTGTTGCATCCTTCATATGCAATATAGCTATCAGTCACATAACAGTTCTGTTGAATCCTTCCATGCACAGAAACTGTTTTGCAGAACGCTGCCTCCAGGAAGATCTGTGCAGTCAGAACTTAACAGAACAGAACAGTGTAGATCAGACAGACCCCCACATATGAAGGGATATTATCAAGGTTAATCATTTCAGTACATGTTCTGAACTGAATGAGAACACTGATTTGTGCACCCACAGAATTCATTTTGGAGCATTTCATTACAAACTGAACCTCACTGCCCTTTCTTCAGCATTCCTTTTGGTTTTCCCATAATCAATACACAGAGTGGCATTGGACAGATAATGAAGGTGAGATTAACTTCGTTTTGTACCTACTATAAGACACAGTGCCCTCATAAAATTGTTCTTCTAAAGACTGAGTTTAGCTCTGTGAAGGATTTTCTATTTCATCAGTTTCAAAGTAATTTGTGTATAGAAACATTTGCAAATCAGGACCATTAGTTTCACTCACACGGGATTCTTAGAGACTGTATTTTGATTAGGATCTTGTTCACTTAACAAAAAAAATAAAGAACTTGCTTGAGCTTTTCTATATTCTGATCCCAGGAAAAATAGCACTGTAGCCTGTCTCTAAAATATTCTGTACTGCACAAAAATCAAAGCACCTTTTAAACAAAATTAATGACATCCATTAAGATGGGAGATAGCCAAATTAAGCAGCAAATAGCAGAAACCATTTTCTTACAAATCAGGCTTAACAAGCTATGTTAGCCTCCTGGCAAGAAAACATACACAAATCACACTACATCCAGCAATGACAATTCACCAGCTTGCTGATTTCACTACTGAACTTCCTTGTCTGAAAAAGATTATTAAAAACCAAAAACAACACACCAGCATCCTCATTTACAATGGCCATAAGCAACTCAACTGACAGTATGAAAGACTGGAACTATGTTAAATCACTGCCTGTTTTATACTGATATGTATTAAAAAGGAGAAGAGTTTATCTTAATAGAATTACCCTATGTCCCTTTCACTGTAAAAACAGACAACAGCAACAAAACACATTATGTTTGAAACAGGAAAAAGAATGTCACTACATGGGAGTTATAAACATTTAAAGATGCTACTTCAGTAACTGTATAGAAACGGCATATACTGAGATGCTACTTAAATGACAACCATATGACTGTATAGAAACTGCTCCTGCTGAGACTAGTTGCTTTGGTGACCCTGAAGAGGACTTAAAAGTAGGGTATATACTTGATGAAGAACATAAGATATCCAGTTCAAAATGATTTCCTTCTCATCCTCTCACCCTCACAAGTTGAAAGCAACCATACACACACAAACACACTGCGACAAATGACAACAAAACGTGCGTGTATATAATTTGTACTCCTGCTTCCACACAGCATAAACCTTAGCCAGCGACACCGAAGGCCTTCTGCCGTTCAGCAAAAGCACACACTTCTTACACCCACTCTCCCCCCGTGCTCCATTCTCCCTCCCCTCCCGTCGCCCAGTCCTATGTCAGGCAGGTAGGGCCAAAATATCCCCGAAGGTGTTTTGGCCATTTGGATATGTCTGTGCAATCTGGATGGGCCGAAAGCCTTCAACCTTCCTCCCACCACACGCAAACGCCTCTAGCCGAGTGTGCTGGGGTTTTATTTCCCCAAAGCCGCTTCCCCCACGCGCGACACCTTGCAAGGAAGAGAACAACAACAAAAAGGAAGGAGATGCGCTATATAGGATGGAGAACAAAGGTGGGGACCGAGACAAGCCGTGCCCGCAAGCAGGGCCGGATTTAGACTTGCTGAGGCCCTAAGCTATACAAAACCCAGAGGCCTCCTACTGTTTTAAATTACATCAGCTGGTCTCAGAAAAATTTAAACAACACGCAAACGCCTCTAAGCCGAGTGTTCTGGGGTTTTATTTCCCCAAAGCCGCTTCTCCCACGCGCGACACCTTGCAAGGAAGAAAGAGAACAACAACCAAAAGGAAGGAGATGCGCTATATAGGATGGAGAACGAAGGCGGGGGCCGAGACGCGCCGTGCCCGCAAGACAAGACCAAAACAGACTAGTCGAGTCAATTTAGGATGGAGAAGGAGATTTGTGTGCGTTCGTCTCCCCGCCCGGACCGGTTCACCTCTCGACCTGTCCGGCGCTCACCTGTGGGCGGCCTCGAGGTCCCAACCGCCAGGCAGTTGGACCCAGCCGCCTTCGTGTCGCCCGCGCGCGGGGGGCGGCGGCGGCAGCGGCGGCGACCACCGCCGCCGCCTCCTCCTTCTCCTCCGCTTCTTCACCGCAGCCGCCGCGGCGGGTTCCGCGTCCGTTCAAAATCACGCGCCCAGCGCCATTCCCCCGCTGCCGCCGCCACCGCCGCATCCCATAATACCCAGCAGCGCCGCCCTGGCAACCGGCGCCGCGTCAGCCAGCGAGCAGGGCTCATTCCTCCGACTCCATTCTCCCGCCTTCTCTCCTCAAAAGCTTCCTCGGACTTCCTCTCCCCCCTCCCTCTGCCTCTTCCCTTCATCAGGGGGAGTTCCGGGTTGGGGACGTCACGACGCCGGTGCGCGCGCGCTTCCCTTCTAGCGCTCGCCGCTCTATGGTTACGCGGAGGCCTTGCCGGCCTCGTTCTCCTCGGCGGCTCGGGAGGGAAGGGGTCGCGGCGGCCCACCTGTCCCCCTACGGCAGGGATTGGGGAAACCGGTGGGGGGGATCGAAATGTCGTCCGCCGTGAGGCAGGAGTTGACCCAGCTCATGAGCTCCAGCGGCTCTCACAAGGATCTGGCCGGGAAGTGAGTGGCTCCTTGCGCGCTTCTCCCCTCCACCCTTCTGGGTTGCTAATAGGAACGGGGTGGGGGGGGGGGGGGCCTCCGGGGGGGGGGGGGGGTCTCTTCGGGTTTTGCCC